CCTTTCTCTTCCCTCCCTCCTTCCCTTTTTTTAAATGCTGCTTTGGTGGCCATGCCTTCCTCTTGTGCTTAGAGGTGGGACAGTTTGTGTGTCCTGTGTTTCTTGGAGAGGTTTCTGCCCTTCGGGATTGCATTGTGACTAGAGCGTTCAAAAGTTGGGATTTTATAGATTCCCCAGCTTTTTCTCTTTGTTAGTATGGCAGTAAGTTTCTCTTGGGCTTTCTGCATCCTTAGTGGAAGCGGAGACCAAGCAGGTCTAGATGCCTCTGTTTTGACTTCACGTTTTATTGCTGGTTTGATTGGCAGTAGAATTCTAGTTTGGAAAACGTTTCCATCCAAAATGTTAAAGGCATTGATCTGTTGTCTTAGAAGCTAGAGCTTCCATTGCTGCTGTTGAGAAGCCTGAAACCATTCTGAACCGTGTTAGTTTGTGTGTGACCTGTTTCTTCTCCACGGCAGCCAGCAGGGGCTGTGTCTCCCGTGTTCAGTCACAGGTCTGTTTTCATCCCTGTGCTGGGTGCCTGCTGGGCTATTCTATTGGGAATTATGTTCTTTGCCTTTGGGAACTTTTCTTGAATTACCCTGTTGCTTTCTGTGCTGTTAGGATATTGAACCTGCTGGACTGCTTGTCACAGCAGCTTTTCTCTCCTATTTTCTTTGGTTTTGTCCTTTTGCTCTACTTTCTGGGTAATTTCCTCAGCTTCATCTCCAGTTCTTTCTCTGAGTTCCTTGTTTTTGCTTTCAAAGTTTTATTGTCATGAGATCTTTTTTCTCAGAGTGTCCTTTTTAATAGTGTCCTGTTCTTATAACATCACTGCACTATCCTCTCTTATCTCCTTTTAAGATGTTAGTGAAAGTTTTTTGTTTGTTCAGGTTTTCTTCTTCATGCATAGTTTTGTTTCCTCCAAATTTCCTTTCATTTCGTTTCATTTGTTTTGGTCTTGATCTTGAACGTTGAGGTTTCCCCAGATGTCTGGTGATATTTAGATGCCTGTTTATGTTTAACAATCAGGAACCAAAAATCTGGTGTTAAAGCTTGAAGCTCATGAGTGGTACGGTGCTTGTTGACTGTGAGGGTCTCTGTAAGGTGATCTGGCCAGGCCATTTCCCTGGCCATCTCCAATGTATTTTCAGGTTTCTTCCCTCTTGGGCTGGCTGATTCCATAGATACCTTCCAGTCCTCTGCTGGACAGCGCAGGCCTGGTCAGCAGCTGGGACCTGAGGGGCTGTGATGGTGATGGGACAGGTGGAAGGAGTCTCAGCACCTAGGGTGCATACCTGTTCACCTGACCCCATTTTTATATGGCACTCACCCTGACCTCAGCTGCGTGCCTCTCAAGTCAGAGGCCACTATTTTACTTTCAGAGAATAGGTTCTAGTCTTTCCTGTTCTGGAAAAAGCACAGGGACCGGACCTGGGATCTGACTGCTGCTTACACACCCTGGACAGATCCTTATTAGTTAAGCTTCACTTCCAACTTCATTTACAGAAGTAACTTTTTTGTCAATTCCTTAGGTTTGGGTGATTTTCTTGGCATTCCTTGTGCCAACTGAATGCTCACTTTTCTTGAGTCTGCTTGGTTTTCATCGCTGTTGTCTGCTCCTGTTTTTCCATTTTACTGGGTTTTTGACTTTGAAAAATTCTTTACAGATGCAGTGAAGTTCTTAGTGAGAGAAAGTAGAGCTGTGTGTTTAAATCTGTCATTCTTACCCAGAACTCCAAACGGTAATCTTACCCAGAACTCCAAACTGTGTGTTTAAATCTGTCATTCTTACCCAGAACTCCAAACGCTTAATTTTAAAAAAATCTTCTTTTGAGGTTCTTGCTCTTGCCCAGGCCTCCTGTCTAGGCTTTGATCCTGGGCCTCTCTTGCTTAGAGAAGACAGAGTTTGGTAATAGTGGCATAACTTTAAGACCTACTATTGTTAAGAAGCTTATGAGGTTTGCCAACTAATTTTCTTTTTAAAATTATAACAGGCCCAAGTCTGTTTTGGTGGTCTGAGAAGAAAAAAGACGAGCTTCTAAAGTTTTGGGAAAACTATATTTTAATTATGGAAACTCTGGAAGGAAATCAGGTAAGAGTTTTCATATTTTAACAAATCCCACGTGGATCCAGTTCTTATTTTTGAAGCATCCTGTAAAAGCAGTGCAAAAAGTCCAACCTGGATATGGCATGAAAGAGCACAGTGTACCTTGTTTTCTGGCATAAATGCACTTTAAAATGGAATGTAAACCCCGGAAATTAAAGAGTACTTTCAGTCAACTTAAGTGATCATTCAGAGAACTTAATCTTATTTGATCTTCCCTTGGCATTTACTTTTTGATGTGTTAGTTCCTCAATGGTGTGAATAACCTCCCAAAAATACACACTTTGGAAAACTGTACTTAAAGTGATTCTGAGCAAATTGTTACTAAGTAAATAATTGCCCTTTAATTTTGTATGTTTTCTTTCTTTTTAAGTTGTTACCTGGTCCTAAGGGTGGAAACTTGAAAAGTAATTACCAGTTGACTTTGAATCAGTTTTTGTGGAGTCATAGAATTTTTAAGTTGAGAGGAGTCTCCTAAGATAACCTAACCTAGTGCCATGGTTCTCAAACTTTAGTGTTCATTCCAATCCCCAGGTGGCTTGTTAAGGTATAAATTGCTGAGTCCACTTCCTAGAGTTTCTGATTCGGTAGATCTGATGTGGCCCCAAGAATTTGAGTATTTTATATGTTCCCAGGAGACACCTGTGCTGCTGCTGGGGGGACCATGCTTGAGAACCTGGTGTAGGGCTTCCCAGTCTGTAAGCTGCAGACCACTAGGGGGCAGCCAGCTGTGGAGGCACTGAGGTGTCAGTCCAAGTGCGGAGCAAGCATTGTCTGTGGATTGAAATAGTTACTCATGAGTGTTAAATATATATATTTATTTGTATATATAAATATTAAAAGCATTTCTAAATTCAAATAAATTTTTTTGGTTTTCCATAGTCAGCAGATCCACAAGACTCCCACTGTTTATTTAGAAATTCTGATTTACCTGTATTTGGAAGGACATATAAATTAGACTGGTACCTGCGACATAATCTAAGTATGAGGAACATTGAGCTGAACTTCTGAATGTGTGGCCTTGAGCAACTTGAGTGACTGGAGAATGTATTTCAATGTTTTTTCCTCTTTGTAATATATGAGTATTATCAGCCTTGTGTCCCAGGACAGTTGAGGATTTCATGACATAATGTTTGATATTCATGGTATAAATGTAACATTACTGTCACTGTATTCTAGGTTATAATCATTAACTTTGTCACTTTCACTCTTACATACTTGAATTTATCTTACTTAAAAAACGGGAAGAATCAGGTACCTTCTGCTTATTTTTTACATGGCAGTGGGGTTATGTAGATAGATGAAAATTCTCTTAAGTTTTTAAAGGTGAATTTTTTATTTCATGTGTCATTTTGCTTTGTTTTCAGATACATGTTATAAAGCCAGTTTTGCCAAAGCTGCACAGTCTCTTTGAATATGCAGTGTCAGAGGAGCATGGTAATAGTTACTTTCAGTTTGATTTTTTTAATAACATTTGTAGTTTTTTCCCTTTGATTTTATAACTAACTCTTGCTCATCATAGAGAATTGGGAAAAGCTGTAAAAGTGTAAAGAAGAAAATAAGAATCTGCTATTAACATTCCAGATACATATCTTCTGCACTGATTATTTGTAACTTTTTTCTCACTTAGCAGTATATCCGAATACATTTACATATCTCCTTCACTAGTCTTTAAGAAAATAGTTTTAAAGGGCTGCAGAGTTTTCTATAACTTAGAGATATGGGCAGTATTCTAAACTTTCGATTATGAAAAATGTCAAATGTTTGTAGAGGAAAAATAGTTTGCGTGATGAACCCATCACCCAGTTTCTACAGTGCTCAGCGTGTGGCCAGCCTGTGTCTTTTCTCAGTGCAGCTCTTCCCACCACACCTGCAGGCACCTCCCCAGACAGCACACCCTTTACTCTGCAGTTGTTTCCCGCAGATGTCCTTAAAAGATGAGGATTCTGGTGATGTTTTCACTATGGTATATTCTACATTTTGAATAGGAGCTCTTTGGTATTATATATTTTAACTGCATTCCATTCTCATTCTCTAAATATATCTGTTTCATTGTTTGTTAGAGTTACCTTTTTGGGGTTTCAGTTTTGTATCTTGGACTTCTTAGGAAGAGAAAATTCCAAGATATAATTTTAAATACCCTTTTTAAGCCCTTAATCAGTATTGTATTATGAGAGCTTTCTAGGAGAAATAAGATGAAGCTAGAGCTCCTAAAATTATTTTATGAATTATATTTAGATCAGTGAGACAGCCGAATGCCAGCCAACAGTGTTTTATATTGTATGAATGATAAAATCCTACATTATCATGCTCACTCGTGAGAATTAGTCTATGTGAAGGGTTTTAGTGCTACTCTAGGAAATTACAACTCTATTAGTTGGACCCTGTAGGAATTGAGCTTTATTCACCTGGGTGCTGTATTTGTTTTCTGCGACACTGGGATTTTTCTCAGACCACGAGAATCCGTTGTCCTGCTTGGCGCTAGCATTTAATTGAATCCTGTTGTGACTTCACCTTGGCATTTACTATTAAGATGATTCTCTTATTACTACATTTTGCCCGTAGCTCTTGGCAAACCAAATCCAATAGCAGTGACAGGTTTTGAAAAATTACTGTTGTCAAAGCTTTGAACTAGTATCTTGGTGCAAATTACTGAAAATGGATCAACTTACTTATAGAATGCTGTGAGTTAAAAAAGCTGAATTTTTCTCTGATAGAATTAGAGGATATGTCAAGAATTAAAAATATCTCTAAGATACATATTTATCCTTCTACCCCTCACTCAGATGTTTACTTAATAGATAGTGTCCAATTTATGCTAAGCACTGGGATAAAGTAGTGAGTCAGATGTACTGTTTTTCACTTGATTTTTGTCTGTTTTCCATGAAAAAATAATGTTGATTATAAGTTCTGTGCAGGCAGCAAACAGGTGTGGTGGGCGTGGGAGGGTGGAGTGAGGTTAGAGTAGTTGTCAGGCTCAGCTCGTCCTGTTAAGGTTTTATTCTAAGGGTATGAGAAGCCATCAAGGATTAAACCGGAGTGACAGTCAGATTTATGAATGAAAATGGGTGAATTCGGCGGGGTGAGAGGAGAATTGGTTGGTGTCACCCCAGGTCTGAAGTTGTGACCTGCATGCAAGGGTGGGATTTAATGTTTGCACGCTGTAGCAGCTATGATGTTTGCTTGCGTCTTTCTAAATGAAACTGTCTGGATATGGAATACTGAACATGACATCTTGGCTACCGAGTTATTAAATACTCTTGGATGGGATTAAACACAGACTGTTGTGGTTATGATGAAGGTAACTGCTGCGAGGATGTTGGCTTACGAATATATACTTTACGCGAAGCAACAACATGTGGGTCCAATGTCAACCTGAAGCTTTTCCTGTAGGACAGTGGCTCTTTCACCCCTCCTGGCACCTGTGTATTTACAAAAGAATGTTTGAAAGTGAAAACAAAATCCTGACCAAAGAAGGTGTTATCCACTTTTTGGAGCTGTATGAAACGAAGGTGCTTCCGTTTTCACCAGAATTTTCTGAGGTAATGACAGACTTCCCTTCCTTTGTTCCCTTTGTCCAAAGGTGAGGGGTGAAGACATTTGTATTTATGTGATCTTCAGAAAATACACCAGGCCTCTGGAATGGCAAGGGACATCCTAGAGATTTGCGTACACCAGTCCTAGTTCTCCAAGCTTAGCTGTCATTTTGGAAAAGGCTCACTGTAATGTAGTTTTCCACAAGCTGCCTGCATCATTTCCACTCTCAAAGTGGTTCCTTGGTATCAGAATTATAAACACTGTTAGTCGAGGGGATGCATCTGGCACAGAAGCTGGCTAGTGATCTGTGTCCCCAGTTTTGGTCAGTGAATTAACATTATCTACCATATGAAGCAGAGATTATCTTTTGAGCTATTTTTATTATATATGTAAAATAATATTATATATTTTATTAGCATCCATACTTCCATTTTTCAGAAGTCACACATAGGAGAGACTGAGAATTACAGCTGTGGTTTTAAGTTTTATATTCTGTGCCCTGTGAGGCACAAGATCACTTCAGTAATTTACCTGTCGTTTAGAGGTAACCTAAGGAAACGTTCCCAATTGCCTGGCAACGTGCTATAGTGGTTTTTTATATAAGAAAACAATTTATTGTTCACTATAGCTGATTTTAAAATCTTTAACCCTCTCTGGTAACCCTCTCAGTTTGTTGGAGACAGCGTTATTTCCCCTTCCCTTCCCAGTTCTCTCACACGTGCTCTAGTGTTTATGTGCATATTTCCCTTCCCCGAGCCTCTCTGCACTTCCTGAAAGCTGGCTTTTTTGACCAATGTCTAGTAATATATTTTGATTTTATTAAAATTTTGAATGTTGACACTGTTGCAGATGTCCCCCATTTTCCCCCCTTTTGCCCACCTCTACCCTCCTTTCCTCTCCCTCCCTTGGCCTTCACCACACTATGGTCTAGTCTAGGAATATTTTTGAAGATATAATTCCCCCTTCTGTCTATCTTCTAGGCTTGGGAGCTTAAATTTTTTCTCAGGCATCTTTTTGTTTTTCCTTCGTTACTACCTGTATTTCCACGTGTTTCTGTTTTGGGTTCCTTTCTTCTTGACCCAACGTGAACTCTCTATTTGATAGAGAGTTGGGTTTTCATCAGGTGAGAAAATTCTGAACTTATTTTGTCATTCTGGTGGAATTAAGAGACCCTCTGTCATAAACTCACCACAGCGTAGGAGGTCAGCTGTGCTCATAACAGTTCTCCTGCAGCCCTGGGCCAATGTGTGTTAAGGCAAGCTGACTTCCAAATTACAATTGCCACTTAACATCAGATACTTTCTTTTTTAGTTTATTATTGGACCATTAATGGACGCACTTTCAGAGAGCTCTCTATATAGCAGGTAAACAAATGGGATGTTATTTGGCAGCAATGCAGTAATGTGTATTATATAAGTTTAACATGTTTATGAAAATGGCCATATTGTTGAACGCATTTGGTACGTAATATATGTTGCCTAATAGATATTCAGCTTTTTACTGTCACGTCGCCTCTGCTGTGTTTGTTACTCTTCTTGCCTGTTTTCTTCTGTATCAGGTGCTCCTTCTTTCACCTCTTGTTTCCTTCCCTGCCTGCACCCTTGGGCGCTTTGGCTTTGGAGTGGACGCCTTACACAGCTTCCTCTCTCTCCTCCTCTCTGCCCTCTTGGAAACTGTAGCGACTTTGGCTAACCAACACGTTAAACTCATTTTTCCTTTTTCTTTTAACGTTTTTGTGTGACTTACATGAAAGTTGTGAGAATAATACAAGAATTCCCATCTGCCTTTCACCCGCGTTGCCCGGACATCAGTGCTTCACCACGTTGCCCGTCATCGTCTCTCCCCATGTGTACACCTGTCTCTTAGCTCTGTCTGTAGAGCAGACTTGCTCATCTGGGTCTGTTTCAGTGTCTGTCCGTCTGTCCATCCACCAGTATTAAAAACCAGGAGTTCTCACCAGTACATCTAATTCCAGTCCAGTTCCGCAGGCTTCGTTCCAGCTTCCCCTTCCCCGTCTGACAGCACAGCCCCTGCCTGTGACACAGTACGCGTTTGCCACCTTTATCCTTTGAAAGGGTTGACGGTGTGAAGAGTCTGGCAGTATTGTGCCTTACCCTCATTTCTTGAGCATTAGCTATACTGTTGAATTATATCTTCAAAAATTCCCCTTGCTTTTGAAATTATGTTGTCTTTCTAATTTTGACTAAGTCTTCTGTTCGGTTATACCTCCAAAGAGGGAATAAACCTCCCGCCATCAGTTTCTTTAAAGAGTTTGAATTAGTGCTAAGTTATATTAGTATTTGGTCCCATTTGATAAATATTGGAAGGACTGAGCAATGCTTGACTCGCCAGTTATTTTTAGTTTTCAAATAACTCATTACTAATGACTGGTTTTCTAAAGCGATTAGACAGCTGCAGAACAGTAAAACCAGCCTTTCTGCAAGAGCTGAAGCATCAGCTATGAGATGCCTCTTGCTTTCTAGCTCTCTGTGTTCAGTTAACAGATGATGTTTCTGGAAGAACTGTAGAGCAGGAAAAACTGACTTTAGTAGATGTTAACAATTAAATGCTCTTGCAAAAGTAACTTATTACTAAATGTCTTTCTATGAATGTTATTTCTTTGATACCTAAAGATTTAAAAGCATTGGATTATATATTGGAAAACATAAAATGTAATTTTAAATGATCACTTTTAGACATTTTAATGATACTCCTTAGCAGGATTCAGGGAAAGGGTCATAACAGGAAGTCCATGCCTACTCTGTGTAGCGCGTTACTAACTCGCGTCCGTTTTCCTAGAAGGTCCTGGTGTGTTTGTAATCAGGAGGATCCTCAATATTTTACTGAAAAATAAAAAGTAGGTTGAGAAATAGAAGATGGTCTTATAGTTTTATTGTTAAAAGAATTTTGGGTCATAGTCCATTTAGTTTCAATATGCTTATTTGTAAATTTTAAATATTTGTCTTTTTCCTCTTTGTCTCCAGGTCCCCGGGCCAGCTGATAGGAAGTGGGTCTCCACTGGGCTTTAAATTACAGAGGTTTTTAGTCACTTATACATCTCTTCTTCCAGAAGAACTAAAGAGTATGTGCAGTAAACAGTTTTTAAAAATTTATTAGCTTTAAAATTGTTTATTTTAGTATATTGATTATAAGCACCATCCCATGACTGTTATGCTCAGTATTATCAAAGTAGTTTCCTTTTTCCAGGAGATGCAAATTGTCAGACTTATGCAGGGCCCACTGTAACCGAGCTCACGTTCCTACGTGACTTATTACCAGTGCCGGCGTGAGTCCATGGGAGTGATTTTAGAAGGTGTGCTGCAGTCTGCCATCTTTTCTAGTTGTTCTACTGAATTTCAAAAATCAGTAAAATAGCTGGAAGGAAGAACCTGGGTATAGGAAAAAGTTGTAAACAGAATATCTGTTGTGGTGAGGTTATTCCTTTATAGATGTTAACTTAGGAAGATAGGAAAATATACTTGTTTTTTGTAAGACCTCGTGTCCAGGTACACACTCGAGAACTAAAAGCATTGTTCATACAAAAATAGGTATGTGACAATTCTTAGCAGTGTTATTCATAATAGTTCAACGTGGTCACAGCCCAAATGTCTACCATGTGACTGAGATGGTGGTGGCTAGTGCCCCCTAGAGAGTGCATGCCTGGTGTCTGTGGCTGGTGCCAGGCATGTGGTGGGCATTTGCAAACGTGCTGAATGAATTTGAACTGGAAGCCTGTCTATTGCCATCTTCCTGTGTCATGAGAGGTGTTTGGCAAAAAATGGGAGCTTAATTAGTCCAACAGAAGAGAGGGCAAGTGGACTAAAAACTTAGTAGTTTTTCAGTCAACAATTTCCAGCGAGTATCTTAAATGTATCTGGTTTTATGCTAGATACTTTGGAAGATATAAAATATATGTGATGCCTTTTTAGGGGCTTCCAAAGATTTCTCAAACGTCATTTCACAGTGACAATCTGAGGAAACAGATGTTTCACTGACTGCATGACTTGAGGGTCCTGAAAAATCACACATCAACAGAGAAGCAGAGTGAGCCCCTTTGTATTCAAAATAGAAAAGCAAATTACAGTGGTTTGATCCAGGGCAGGTGAGGAATCACCTGCGAGGAAGCTCTGATGTGATTTGCAGACACCAGAGGCCCATTACCTTCAGTATTTCTTAATCATCTCCAACAGAGGAATGGCTTCTAACAGTGAAGAATTTGTTGTTTACCTTTATTTATTTATTTTAAGCATTTTATTTATTTTTAAAATGTTTTTATTGATTTCAGAGAGAGGAAGGGAGAGGGGGAGAGAGAGAGAGAAACATCAATGATGAGAGAGTCGTCATTGATCGGCTGCCTCCTGCATGCCCCCTACTGTGGATCGAGCCCACAACCTGGGCATGTGCCCTGCCCTGGAATCGAACCCTGACCTCCTGGTTCATGGGTTGACGCTCAACCACTGAGCCACACTGGATGGGCTGTCTTTTACCTTTTTAAAAATATAGTTGTGTGGTTATCAGAATCTCTACAATAGAATAGAATACATACTTATCTTACTAAAAAGGAATAGAATTGAAATAACATTGTTTTTTTCAGTAGCTTTATTCAGATATAATTCACATACCATAAAATTCACCCTTTTAAAGTGTTTATTGGTTTTTAGTATAGTCACAAAGTTGTACAACCATCACCCCTAATTCCAGAATATTTTCACCACCCAAAGAAACTCCGCACTCACTAGCAATCACTACTCATTCTCCTCCCCTAGCTCCTGTCAGACGCTGATGTACTTTCTCTATAGATTTGCCTAAACATTTTATATAAATGGAATCATATAACATGTGGCCTTTTCTTTAATGTCTGGCATCTTTCACTTAGCTTAATGTTTTTAAGATTCATCTATGTTATAGCATGTATCAGTATTTCATTCCTTTTTGTGGCTAAACAGTATTTCACTGGATATTTCTCATTTATTCATCGGTTGGTGGACATTTGGATTGTTTCTTTTAACTGTGATGAATAATGCTTCTATAGATATTTGCATACCTGTTTTTATATGAACATGTGTTTTTGATTTTCTTGAGTACATATGTAGGGGTGGAATTGTGAGTCACATGGTAACTACAGAGTGTCCCAAAAAAATATGCATACTTTAACAGATGATAGCTCAGTTCCTGTTTCTTTCTTTTCAGAGTTAACCCATTGGAATTAATTATTCAAAGTGTGTATACAGTTTTTGGGACACCCTATATGCTTAACTTTTAGAGGAGTTCCCAGACTGTTTTGCACACTGGCTGCACCATGCTGCGTTCCCAGCTGCGGGGTGTGAGGCTGCCAGTTTTTCCACCTCCTGGTCAATGCTTGCTGTTCTCCATCCTTTTGAGGATAGGTCCAAGTGGGTGTGAGGTTTATCTCATTGGGGTTTTGATTTGCATTTCCTACCTAACATCTAATGATTCTGAGCACGTGGCCCTGCTGTTGGCAACAATGATATTTTAAAACTTTTTCTTTCAGGTAGTTTTTTGTTAAAATTTATTCAGAAGATGACAAGTAGACATTGGTGTGCTGTTCCCATTTTGTTTCTCTCTAAGGCCTTGGCCGGTGTCCCGAGATGCAAAGCCCTGGGTCTGGAAGGGCTCCTGGCCCTCAGGTAATTTGGTCTGTTTATGTTCACATAGGGATTTTTGACATAACTTTCCATCAGTCCATTTTGTTTTCCCCTCTGATTTAATATAGCAAATGGTTTTAGTTAATATTGGCATTGTGATTTTTGAGCTCTTAATTTTATAAGAAAAAAGTAAATTAAAAATCTATTCATGTAGTAAGAATTACTAATTTAAGCATATGCCATAGTACATGCTATCGACTTTAACCACTTTAAAATAAGGCCAGTAAGTTCTTTTTATTACATTGATAGGAAACTAGAGATAAACTATCGAACCATAATATTGATTACAAAGTATTTTTAAAACTGTAAAATTCTTATTTTAAAGTTTCTTTATGTATAGTCTCATTATTTTTAAAAAGGATTGTTTCATATTGAAATTGAGCTCCTTTAGAGACCTTAGTGGAAAATTAAAGCTTTGAAATTCTCCGGGCAGTGGCCTTCTGCATTAGTAGTCGTAGGTATCACATCAGCCTATTAGTAACTGCCGATTGTCGGTGGGAATGAACTTGTTGTCTGGTGTCAGGGATGTTCTCCAGTGCACCATGGTCACACACCAGATCCTGCTGCGGGGGGCCGCCCAGTGCTACCTTCTCCACACAGCTATGAACCTGGTTGACGTGGTAAGAGCATCTTCTTTACTCATGATACTTCCATTTACACACCTTTCTGAGTGAGCAGGTATGCAAAAAAAGTGAACATAGCAGGCCCCTGATGCTGTCTGTGGAAGCCCTATTTGTTATAAGGTTGGCCCGCGGCTGGCATCCGGGAGCGTGTTTTGAGAGGCTCCTACTCTCTGATTAATGAGAGTGGTTCCCTGTGCCTGCAGTCTTCATACGAACCATGGGGCTTAAACTGAACCGCTTCCTCTGGGAGTCAGGAAGTCGCTATGCAGGGGTGCCTATGTCTCCAACTCCCAGCAACAGCCCTGAGTCTAAGGAGCCTCCCTGGGAGAAGTTTTACATGTTGCTGGGAACTGAGCACATCCTGGCGATTCCATTAGGAGAAGCTTTCGCCTGGTTTCCTCTCTGCTTTTTCCACTCTTCTTCTAGTGAATCGGCATTCAGGGAACATATACTGTCTTTATTCTCTGTTTTTACAGAGCCCCCATAATGCTGTGGCTGTGAAGGGTGGACTAGTATATATCTAAGGCTTTGCAAGTCATATGGTCCCTGTCACAACCACTCAAAAGCAGCCATAGACGGTTGATAAATAAATGAACATGGCTGTGTCCCAATAAAACTTTACTTACAAAACAGACTGTGAGTGGTTTTGCTGACCCTGGGCCTAGAGCAGGGTCTCTTAATTCAACACTTAAAACCGTGAGGGGATAAAAGACCAGGTGGCTTTCTTAAGGCAGGGGGTCATTTTTGTAGCTTTGAAAAGTCAGAAACACTTTTGATTTAAGTAATTAGTAATTTCTTATAGAATGTTTTTGTTTTTGCTTTTGGATTGTGACCATCTTATCTCTACAGTAGTAACCTTAATTTTAAGGAAAATAGATTTATAAAATAATCCTTTATTTTACATAATGTGTTGGTTGTAATCAACATCTTCATTTTAAAAGTTCAATATTTTCTCCTTACAAATAGCTTTTTTTTATATTTCANTTATAAAATAATCCTTTATTTTACATAATGTGTTGGTTGTAATCAACATCTTCATTTTAAAAGTTCAATATTTTCTCTTTACAAATAGCTTTTTTTATATTTCGCTAATATTATACTTTAAATAGTATACTAGATTGCTATTACAATGATTTTATTTTATTCAATTAAAATTTTTAAAATGAATAATTCTGCCCTAGGAGAAAGTGTCACTTTCTGACATCTCGACTTTTCTCATGTCACTGAGACAAGAGGAGTCCTTAGGACGAGGAACGTCACTGTGGACAGAGGTGAGATTGAAAATAATTTGATGATAAGGTATTTGAAATCTTTATAAAAATTGTTTTCTAATTGAATTCATCACTAGCTGTTTATGCAAAATATAATTATTGCTTTGTTACCTGTCAACAGAGATTTTAAAAATTATACATGTGCTTTGAGCGGAACTAACTGATAATGCTGCTGGGATCTCGTGGAGAGATGGGAGGCGGGCAGGCCGGCAGGAGACAGACCTGATTAGGAGGGGAGCTAGTGCTAAGGGCAGATCCCGATCCTGGCTCAGATGTATTAGGAATGAATAGTGATGATGTTAGATGCAGAAACAGTGNGATGATGTTAGACGCAGAAACAGTAACACAACCTCCTCTTTCTCTTTTTTCTGTCAGTTACTGGCACTTTCATCTGCCCAGTTGCCCAGGCCTGGCGTTCGGTAATGCTAATTCTTCTGACTTTATGCATCTAATTCATCATGAGAGCCTAAGTGTCTTTCCTCTCTGCAGCCACTGCTCTAGTGGGCACCTCCCCCCGTGTCATTCCCACCATGATGCCGCCTTTCTTGTCCACTGTCTGACCTGTGGCTCCCTCACCCCATGTGTCCGGGCCTTACAGCCGGTCACAGTCTGGTGGTTCTGCTCGTGGGCGCCTCCCTGCCTCCGCCTCTTTGTTTTGTGTTAAACTGTGGGACTCGGTTCATACTGCTGACGTTAGCTCTTATCGGTTATATACGTGGTCGAATTGTAGTCTGTGTTCTCTGTAGGTTATATGTTTTTGTGAGTACAGGAGCCTTTCAAAATTTTTTTTATTTTGTATTTCTCCAGTGCTTAAGAGATCAGGCTAGGGATGTGACCACTTCTTTTAGAAGGTAATTCTGGATCTATGCGAGAGAAGGGAAAGAAATCAGCTTGGACTATGTTAAAATAAGTCAGGCGTAAAATGAGGAGAGCCTAGACTAGGGTAATGGCAGAGGGAATGAAGAGAGGAAAATTGAGGCCTTTAAAAATTAGAATTTTATCTTATATTCTGGATCATAAAGCATATAGTCATGTGGAATCTGAAAAATACAGAACCATTAAAGAAAATAATAATCACCTGTAATGCCCACATATTTTTGGTTTAATTCTTAATTTTTTGAATATATATATATATATTTTCTCACTCTTGCTTTCTCACTATATATGTATATTTAAAATGACCTATTAGTATACNTATATATATATATATATATGTTTTCTCACTCTTGCTTTCTCACTATATGTGTATATTTAAAATGACCTATTAGTATATATGATATTTCTAAACAAAATTAAAGTTACTATTCTAAATTTTGTTTTTCATCTTTACATATATTTGAGCATTTTAACATGTTGCTAATTTTCCCATATGTGATATTTAAAAGTTCAGTTGATGAAATGTTTTAGAGTTGATTTAATCACTTCCTTTTGTTGAACTTTTATTTCAAAACCTATCATTTCATCTATAAATATTTCAGTATGCACTGCTAAAAAATAAGGACTTTAAAAGGACCCCAAATAGGTCCTTTTCACACCTAAAAATGTTAACAATTTTTTAATTTCAAATATCCATTGTTTACACTTTTCCAGATATCCAATAAATGTGTTTTTCTGTTTGTTTCTTGCATTTTGTTTGTTTAGATATTCAACTTTAAGTATCCAAATAGGGTCTGTTCATTGTATTGATATGTGTAGTTTTTAAGCTGTGGTGGTTCCCTCTGGAGTTTATTTGGTGTGTGGTATGAGCTGTCAGGTTTAAATGATAAAATGAATGTAAAGTGTTTCAGATGGTGCTCAGCCCATCAGTGTAAACACCTGCAACCACTAATGTCTGTTCCCCTTGATTGATGAGCTAGACCTGTAATTGTTGGTGTTAAGAAGCCTTAGATGGCTTTATTTGTTCCACTTAATTTTTCAGTTGTCTAATTCATTAATATCTGTCTTCATTTTTTTATTATTTTTACTTTCTTTTAGTATGTTTTACTTATCTCTCAATGTGTTGAATTTATTTACTGAAAACCCCAGGCCCTGTGCTGCTTTGGGAATACAGTGGTTAGCAAATAAATGTGGCCACTGTGGTTTATACTTGAACCTCAATTTTAATTTTGTTTGTTTAGTAATAAAAACACATATGTATGTATATATCTGAGAGTAGATTTGACTATATTCTGTAACTTTTGCTATATAGTATAAACCTGTTGTATTATGTTGAACCATAGATATTTAGTCATTTTTAACTTACAGAAGTAGCAATTTCATATAGCTCCACCTAAGTAATTTTTAAAAATTAATATACTTTGTTTTTTGGTGCAGTTTTAGGTTTACAGAAAAGTTGAGCAGAAAGTCCAGAGACTTCTCATAACCCCTCACCAGTCCTCTCACCCCCACAGTTGCCCCTGTTGTTCACATCTTGCATTAGCCAAGTACATTTGTTATAATAGAAATGTTAATTTTAACTAATGTCCACAGTTTACACTAGGGTTCGCTCTGGGGGCTCTGACAAATGTATAACAACATGTATCCACCATTACAGTACCATACAGAATAGTTCCACTGCCCTGAAAATCCCGTGTTCCACTTGTTCATCCCTCTCTTCCCTCAGGCCTCCCAACCCCCCACAACCATCGATATTTCACTGCCTCCATAGTTTTGCCTTTTTCAGACTGTCATATAGGTGGAATCATACATTAAGAAGCTTTTCAGACTGGCTTCTTTCTCTAAGTAACACACCTTAAGGATCTTCCATGTCTCTGCATGCCTTTCGATCACTGAGTAATATTCAGTTGTCTGACGTACCACAGTTTATTTACCCGTTCACCTGCTGAAGGACATCTTGGTTGCCTCTCAATTTTGGCAGTTATGAATGAAGCTGCCATAAGCGTGAAGGTGAAGGTGTCTGTGTGGACATAACTTTTCAACCCATTTGAGTAAATACCAAGGAGCACAGTTGCTGGATTGTATGGTAAGAGTACGTTTAGTTTTGTAAGAAACTGCCAAACTGCCTTTGAAAGTGGCTGCGCTATTCTGCATTCCCACCAGCAGTGAATGCGAGTTGCTGCTGCTCCACGACCTCGCCGGCATTTGGTGTTGTCAGGGTTTGGGATTTTGGCCATTCTACTAGGTGTGTAGTGGTAGCTCATTGTTCTTTTAATTAGCAATTATGTAACGACATATGGCATTGGGCACCTTTTCCCATGCTGCTTGCCATCTGTATCTCTAAGTTCTTTGGTGAAGTGTTTGTTCAGATCTTTTGCCCATTTTTAAATTGGATTGTTTGTTTTATTGAATTTTAAGAGTACATGTTGGATACCAGTCCTTTGCCAGATGTGTCTTTTGCAGATATTTTCTCTTGGCCTTTGGCTTGTTGTCTTATCCTCTTGACAGTGTCTGAATAGACTTTGAGACATGTATTTTAATGGGACATCAGGGGAAGCTGTGTACCAGGGACTGATAGTCAGATGCCGTTTAGATCATAAGTCTGACATGAAAACTTCTTGCAGGGAAATAGTCTGAATTTTGTGACAGATCTGATATAGGGCAAGAATCAAATATGAATTTGAGTTACTTCAGTAAATTTGTTATAATAGAATTGTGCTTGTGGAAATAGATTTGGAAAACCACATGTTTTATAGTAGTGATTAAGAAACAGTCTGGCCAGTTTGAGAGGAATATAAAGAAAAAGTATATACTGTGGAAAAATAAATATAGCTGACCTCACTGTTAGGTTCTATTTTAAGATCATCTGCTTGATAAAGACCGACACAGAACGGCCTCCTGCGGTGTTGCTCAGCCATTGGTTCCTCGGGGCGTGGGTTTCAGTCCTCTCTGAGGAATTCATGAGTTTTGCCTTGTTCACTATCACCTTGTCTCCTTACATGTAATTTTGGGTTACCTTAATGGATGCAAAAAATATTTTTAAAAAAATTCTTACCTTTTAGAAAGACATAATTATTTACTTATTTAAATTCATGTATCGATATGCACATTAAGATATATTGTAAAAAGGAAGTTGAGAACATAGATTTCAAAACAAAATTCACAATTACGTGTGATCAAAGATTAATCTGTGTAGTTCTGTGACCTAGTTTTGCAAGTCTTTTGAGAGGTGTGATGGAGAACTAGGACAGATTCTATTAAATATATTTTAAAATGCACATATGATCCAAAATAAGCTTGTGAGGAGGTAGCAACTGTAATTATAACTTATATTTCAAATTCTCCATTCAAGAGTAAACATCAAGCTAGAATGAATTTTAATTTAAGGTGGTAATTTATTTACATAATGTTTTATTTTTCACAGAGATGTTCTTTAGCATAGCTTATCACAATGTGCATTTTATATTAGGTACTTTAAAGTTCCTGCCTGTAAATGAAGTTTATAAAATCTCGGATGGAGATTAGAAAACACACACACACATTATTTTCTGCCAACACTATCTGTGCCACTCCGTGACGACAGTAAATCTTTTATTACTTTGTTGTGTTCAGTCATTTAAATTCATTTTATTTTGGAAGAAAAAAATTGACTTTGGGAAATTAGAGATCCTTTGTTCGGTTAGTTTTTAAAAATAAAGTAATACCTGCTGTCTCCTCCAGCTCTGTGATTGGCTGCGTGCTAACGAAAGCTGCTTTGGAGGATCCTCAACTTGTAGCTCCACTGGACTTCAAGAGACGTGCTCTTTAAATGCTTATGTCAAGAACCTAGTTCAAAAGTTCATTAAGTCACCTGCTTGGGAAAGTAAGTCTGAAATCATTTTTCTGGATTAGTGTAAACAAAGTGTTTTCAAAGAACTTTTAACTAGTTTTCAGATCAAGATAATGGACTTTACCACATGCACGTCAGTCTACATCAGACGTGTTTTTCAGCCAAATACTGCAGATAAATGAATGTAAAAATATTGCTCCCTAACTTGTACTTTATCTGTTCTAGGATTTGAGATTCTAAACTAATAAGTGGGCAGAGTAGAAATTAGACACAAATAAATGTAATAGTTTATTCTACAATTAGGAAATTTATTGTGGGTTAGAGATGGCAGGTGTGATTTCAGGGCCTCTAAAGTAGAAATATTTGTAGATAAATGAGTTCATCTTTTGTTTTCAGAGTGTTAACATTTAGTGTGATCTGATTATGAAAAGTAATTTTAGAGGAAAGTTGTTTGAAAGCGATTTGTTAGTTTTCCTTTTTGCCAGATACTTAGCAAAGATCCTGGTAAGACTGCTCGAGGGAGGAACTAGTTGCAGATCCAATAATTAGGGTTCTTTTTGCATTTCTAATGCTTCCTCTTCACCAATGACATCTGTGGTCATTTGAGTGAATTGCATCTTTGAATTTAACATGTCTTAAGTTTCGTAGGTTTGTTTCAGACCAAGTCATTTTCATTTACTGACTTCTCTAATCTCATCATGGAGTAGCTTCTAAGTGGTCAGATAATTACCCTCCCCAAATACTTGAGAGTATCTGTTGTCCTCAAACATTTCTCTTTTGCCTGTTTTAGTCTCTCTATTGTTTAGTAAATTTTCTGTGCTATTACTGGGAAGATTCTTTTGTTAGCCTATAAAAGTAAATGAATTTTAGTCCCTACTACCCTTACATAAGATTAAACCCCTAAAATAGAGCCTGTCTTATAACTCAGAGTATATAACAGAGTCAGATCTGATTAAATATTCAAAATTGGATGAAACAGGATTTTTAGAGTTTCTTCCTTAACATTTCTAGGACTTAAAATACACTGTTTAACGTAATATGCTATTTGAAGTTGTTTTAAAAACTGATTTTTAAGTGCAAAGGAGGCTTGTGTGTACACATTTAATATTTAGTGTTACTTTTAATGCCCTGGCTAAGTGCCTCTATAAAATTTTTGTTTAGTTATCAATTACTAGGCTTTTTTTCAGAATAAGTTAATAAACTCCAAAGCAGATACTGTTTAGCTTGAGTTTTTGAGCATCAAATACAGATAATATTCAGATTTGTTTTTATAGAAAGACTCATCAGCCAGAACACTATTTTCAACAGATTATNAGAACACTATTTTCAACATCTGAAGTAGCTTTTTCTTTGGGTGTTGACATACTCAGCTTGGGTAGATTTCACACTATTTATTCAGCTATTCAGCAGACATATATCAAGTGTTTTCTGTGTGTCAGGCATGGGAGTTACGGAGATAAAAGATGCATCCCCTGTCCTCAGAGAGCCTAGAACCCAGCAGGGGAGTTGACGAGTAAGCAGATAATCCTAGCATAGTGCCTTGAAGGACNGGCATGGGAGTTACGGAGATAAAAGATGCATCCCCTGTCCTCAGAGAGCCCAGAACCCAGCAGGGGAGTTGACGAGTAAGCAGAGAATCCTAGCATAGTGCCTTGAAGGACATAAGTGCTGGGGTGGGGAACCTGTGTGAGCAGTACCTGTCCAGACCAGGTGCTTGCAGGAGTGGGGGGTCCCCTGGTGGGGTGACACTGATGAGTGAATAGAAATTAATGTGAAAAGTGGGAAAACATCAGGGCTTGGATGTATGTGCATCCAGGGAGCTGAGTTAGGTAGGCTTCTTTCTGTCTGTCTGTCTATGGCATGGAGCCAGGTGGGAATGGTAAGAGAAGGATGGATATGAGACATGTACATACACACTCACTAGTTATTTTACATTTCCGTGTACACTCTTCGACGGGCGCTGTTCTCTGCTGCTCTGCATGTTCTGTGAGCACAGGGACGTCAGCAGCATGGGGTTGGTCTGTGAAGTGACCAGGCATGCAGAGATTGGGTGTTACTCATGTTTCACCATGAGTTAGCCATGTGTGTAAAACTGTGACCATTTCATCGCAGCTGCATTTCAGTAATAATTAGTGTTGGTAAGACATAATCGTTTAGTCCCTTGATTTTGAAGCCATCTCTTCAAGGGGTTTTGTTAATGCTTTCAAACTTTGACTGTATTATTTAAGCAGGAGAAAACTGTTGGATGCCCGATTGGGCTGAAGCCAAGCTTGTTGCTCTGATGGTCTTGCTGGCAGTAGATGTGGAAGGAATGAAGATTCAATACAGGTAAGTGATTCTGAACCAGCAGAGCCTTCAAAGAAAGGCCCCTCAGGTGTATGGTGGATATTTAACTTTCCCATGATTGGAGTGGAATTGACCACAATGCATTAAAAGAGGGAACTAGAACGTTGGCAACAGATTAATTATAAATTAACAATAAGTTAATAGTAATAACAGCTATTAGGTTGGTAAGTTAAACTGTTAAAGAAGGTTAGAAAAACTATGCAGTAATCACTGGTTTTATATAAGAATATTAGAAGAATGAGTTGTAAAATCCTAACGTAAGATTAGGTGAAGAGATGGACTGTATTTAATTTATTTGTAAAATGTATAATTTTAAAAAGGGAGTAAAGATAAAACTCATATTTTGAGAATGGGAACAGGTCAGTTCTCTCAGATTACAATTGTTGCAAAAAGCAGCTTCCTTAGGTTGTGTGTTTGCATGATATATGGTTAATTTTGTGAACATCAAATCTGTTTTCTGGACAGTTTTAGTACTGAAGTTGGTTATAATAGTTTTTCATAAGTCCTTAATTTTACATATATATTTTTTGTTAACATGTCTCATTTCCTTGACCTGCACTTGTTTTGTTTTTTTGAATTGTGGAAATGGGATCTCAGCATTCTAATTGACACATAAAATTGACATAGGATTTCCTTCATTCTTGTGCCCAGAGCTGAGTGTTCGATCTTCCCTGTGCTTTCCCTCTGGTGACTCACGTTCTCCCTGGGAAAGCGCAGACCGAGGTCAGCGAATAGGTTGGGGGAGAGGTCAGCCCTGAGAGGTGCTGGGTGTTAGGATCGTCCACAGGAGTTGTTCTGTCTAATAGAGTCTATTAGTTAACCAGTTCCACAAATTACAGTTGGGAAATGGTTTCTTTATGCTTCTGAACTGCTTGGTTTGGGCGTTTTTCAATGTCTAGTGAAAGACAGAGGACACAGAATGTCCTGCGGATATTCCTAGATCCTCTCCTGGACGCCCTCGCGAAGCTGGGCAGGAGTGCCTACATGCCCCTGCCGAAAACGGACAGATGCCTCCAGCTGCTGGTGACGCTGCTGCACACCTGCGTGTTGAGAGGCTCCGGCGCCCAGGATGGTGATGGTGAGGAGTTTCCTGAGTGTCCTGCTGGTAAATTGTTGGTATTTAGAATGAAAGAATATTCCCAATCTTTCAAAATAAAAAGACCACTTCGTGCATAAGCAGGTATTTACTGGGTCTCTCCTGCTGGTGCTGGGGACACACAGGGAAGGAGCATGCTCTGCCCTCGTGGCACTGACAGTCTAGTGTTCACATGTGTTGGTTACTGTTGATTTTAGTATGTGATTTCATTTGCTTTTATTTTTTTTTTAAATTTATGCTTGGTCATTTATTTTTAGACCATTGAAAATGATCCCTGTTTCATGTATGTTTAAGCAAGGTCCATCTCTAATTGCCACTAGGCTAGACGTTGCAGAAAGTGAGTGAAAACATGAGAATGTCAGCAATTTTATAGTTGTTTCTTAAGTACATTCATCTCTGAGCACCTTTAAGTAGAAAATCCTTCCTATAGAAAGTATCACGATGGTAGGTAGAAGTGCTGAGCTCTATCTTCCCTCCTAAAACCAGGATACGTGTAAGTTAGTTGAAAACCAGTGGACATTAGAGATGAGCACACTGGTGGGTAAACCTTGACTCCCAAACCTTTCCGACCAAGTTCATCTGGAGGTAAAGAAGGTTAAAATTTTAAAAAATTCTAGAGAAACATTGGTATTCGTTTAAACCTGAGGCTAATAGGATGAGGTTAGTTTTAACTTATGCTTGTGAAATAGTAAAGCTAGTTTCCAAGTTCTGGTGTTTTCTTCAGCACCAGTTTTTTCTCCTCTGGGACTCTTATGACATGAGGATTAGCCCTTTGTTACTGTCCATAGGGCTCTGGGCTGTTTATTTTTAATCTTTCATCTGTTGCTCAGATTGCATGTTTTACTGATCTGTTTTCAAGTTCACTGTCTTTTTTCTTGTATCTCCTTCCTGTGATTGACCCCATCCAGTGAGGTTTTTTAAACTTTAAAATTATTTATTTTTATTAAATATATTGGGTGAAAATGGTAATTTCAGTTATTGTACTTTTCAACTACAAAGTTTCTGTTTGCTTTTCGTGTTTAACTTCTGTTCCCTTGCTGAGACTTTCTATTTCTCCATTTCTTTCATGAGTGTTCTTGATAGACTGTTGAAGCATTTATTTTATTTTTCCCATCACCATTTGTCCCCTCTCTGCCCTCTTCCACCTCTACCTCCCTCCTCTCCACAATCACCACCCTGTTGCCCATGTCCATCAGTTCTCTATTTTTTTTGCCCATTCTCTGCACCCCCATACCCCTACCACCAGAGCTGTCTGCCTGCTCTCTATCTACGAGTCTGTCTCTATTTTGCTTAGTAGTTCAGTTTGTTCATTAAATTCCACGTATGAGTGAGATCATAAGGTACTTGTCTTTCTCTGACTGGCTTATTTCACTTAGCATAATACTCTCCAGCTCCATCCATACTATCGCAAAGGGTAAAGTTTTCCTTTTCACGGCATATTAGTATTTCATTGTGTAAATGTCCCACGGCTTTTCTACCCACTCACCTACTGATGGGCACTTGGGCTGTTTTCAGATCTTAGCTATTGTAAATAATGCTGCTATGAACATAGGGGTGCATATATTCTTTCAAATTAGTGTTTTGGGTTTCTTCGGGTAAATTCCCAGAAGTGAAATTGCTGTATCATAAGACTGTTCCATTTTTAGTTTTCTGAGGTGACTCCACACTGCTCCTTATAAATAGCTGCTTCAGGGTCTCTGTCATATTATTCTGTCTGAACGTGACATCACCTCTGTGCTGTTGCTTGTAGCTGGTCTTTTCCTCGGTGTTTCCTGATGCTTCCTGTGCCTGGTTGTGCTGGGTTGTATCTAGGTGTCATGACTACTGTGCAGTGAGACTCTGGATCTTCTTTCAGTTCTGTGGGGAGGGGTGGTATTTTTGTCCGGCACACAGTCAGCCTGGTTGGGTTGAGGCCTCAGTTCCGACCCAGCTTCTGTGGGTGCTGGTTCCCCTGCAGCTGTTTTCAGGTCTTTAGCAGTGGAGTCTGCCCTGAGCCGCAAGTGTCTCATCAGGGCCAGCGGGGACCTGGGCCCCTGTCTCTGTGAGTTCAATTCTGAAAGTCTTGTTGCTGGTTAGTATTGGATCCATGCAGCCTGGTGTCGGAAGCCACTTTTTGGGGCCACTTTCCCGACGCCTCCCCCTTGGGCTGTCCTAAGGCCTCACAGTCTGCTTCCCTGGCTCTCCTTTCATTCCCTGCCAGCCCCTGCATCTGGTCCTAGCCTGCAGGGGAACCAGGGCGGCTCCCTGCTGCCCAGGACCTCTTCCTTCTTAGTCTGTCTGCTACTCTTTACCATCCAAGTCTCTAACAGCTGCTTCAGATCTTCTGTCTGGGAGGGTAGCCTCGTTCCCAAGGGAGGGCAGTGTGTTCCTGCCGCAGCTCATCTAGAGCTGGAACTCCTGAAGGGTTTCTCGAGTTAATTACAGATTTCCCCACCGTATTAATGGCTATTATATTGTTAGAATCCATTTTTTGTAAGTGACTAACATGCGTTTAACATGGTTGTACTTTTACTAAACTATTTGGTGTATTTTGTACCAAACAACGTATTTCTGTCGTTTAGTTGTGCACTTTTCTCCACACAGATGAGGTGTTGACCCTCCTTCAGGGCTTTATTGTGTCCACTTCAGAGAGCATCTCCGACTTTCTCCTCAGGAGACTGACTATGAATGAGCTGAGCAGTGTGAGTATCCATCAGGGTGACTCTTCAGTCTTCAGTATTGGAGTGGTTACAGACTGCAGCACTGTGTTAAGTTGAAAGGAAAATTACAGTGCCACCTTACGTTCCCTTGCACCCGGCAGCCTGACTGCAGCAGACACCCGGCTCCCTGCTCACCATCTCCACCTCCCTCAGGATGCAGAGCAACGGCTCTCAAGCTCAGTGACTCCTTTGTCATGGGCCAGTGGATACTTTCAGACATGCTTTTCTTGACTCCTTGGCCCCACTGGACACTGTTGACCACGCTCCCTCGAAACTGTCCCCTTAGCTGCTGTGACATTGTCCTATCCTGGTTTTCCCCATCTCTCTGGCCATTACTGCTACTTTTCCTCAGAATGTCTGTCCTCTGTGATGTAACCCTGAAAGTAGGAGCTTAAAGCATGACCCAGCCCCTTCTCTCATGGTCTCCTCTGTCTTGGTGATTTCATCTGCGGCCCTATCTGCAGTTTTGCCAGGGACCCTCCTGTCTCTGTCTCCACCCAGATGTCTTCTGACCTTCACTCCCATTCAGCCAATTGCTGTTCACAGCAATTGTTGACCCCGGTCATCCCTCCAGGAGCTTGTCTGGGCTCCCCTCTCACTGAATGTACTGTCCTCCAAAGAGCTGCTGAGCTCAGACCTTGGGAACCCCCACAGCACTGCCCTTGAACCTGGCACAGTGCCGGCATTATAGTCAGTGGTTGCTCAGTGAGGCTTCCTTTGACACAGAGGGCCTCCTACGGCATAGTAGTTAGTATAGTAGTAATAACTAAGGCCTAATCATAACCACTCAGGGCCAGTCCACTTAGCATACTTTCCTCAACTCTTCCAAAAACCCTGTGATGGATACACATTACCCTTCATAATGTGTGGACAAGGAACTGAGGCCTAAGGAGCTTAGGTGGCANCATATTACCCTTCATAATGTGTGGACAAGGAACTGAAGCCTAAGGAGCTTAGGTGGTGTGCCATAGGTCACAGAGCTGGTGGGTGGTAGAGCTGGACTGAGCCCAGTTCTGCCTAAGTCCAGAGTCAGAACTGCCTGTGGTTAATTCTATCCTCTTGCTGGCTCTGAGATGCCAGGTGAGTTGCTTCTCTGAAACTTTGTCGTCATCTTAGGAAAGTGGATGGTCACCTTCCTTGTGAGAGTGGGGTGTGGTAATGTGCCCGAGACAGAGGAAGGGTGATTGCTGTAACTGCTGTTATTGGCCATGGTTAGCTTTGGGTTCAGGAATTGGTAGAACCTGGTTTCTGCCTTCTCAGGTCTCATAACCTGGTGGGAGGAGCCAATCACTTGTGGTTAGTGGGGTGATGTGTGGAAGGCAGAGTCACTGGACACTCAGAGAAGGTCCTTGTCTGCATGGGGACAGTATGGAAGGCTTCCTGGGGGAAATGACTTTTTCTCTCATCAGTGTGTTATTTCAGTGATTTTAAACAACTAGTAGTCTTGTGAAAATTCTGGACCCTTATTGAGTGTCTTACTATCTGTCTTAGGTTTCAGACCTGGATCGGTGCCACTTATACCTGCAGGTCTTTGCTGAGCTTACAGATCTCCATGTGAAGGCGGGGTGGAAGAGAGGCAACCCCATCTGGAGAGTGGTTTCTCCTCTGAGAAACGCATCCATTAAGCATCTTCAGGACACGGACAGTGGGCAGGTAACCCTGTGATCCGGGGCTTGTACTTCTGTTGGATAAGGCTTATGTGGAATACAGATTTGATTATTAATACAGTATTTTGATATCATTAAAAGCATCTGCTGAAACTTGATGTTTAAAATAATATTCTTGCCCTGGCAGGTGTTGCTCAGTGGTTAGAGCTTCGGCCTGCCCCAAAGGGTTGTAGGTTCGATTCCCAGTGAAGGGCATGTTCCTCGGTTGGGGGTTCGCTCCCTGCCTCAGGTGGGGGCACATGCGGGAGGCAATTGATCGATGTGTCTCTCTCACATTGATGTTTCTCCCTCTCTCTCTCTCTCTCTCCCCTCCCTCCCTCCCTTTCACTCTCTCTGGAAAAGCAATGGAAAAATATCCTCAGGTGAAGATTAACAAAAAATAAATTAATTAATCAAAATAATATCCTTTGTTTATGGTATTTGATGAGGATTGGGGTTCCCATCATACCAGGTACATAACAGAGGTGACTTTAGTCTTTACATCCTTTCGGCCCAGGAAGGGGAGCTACACTGAGTCCTTTGCTCGTGCACCAGGAAGGGGCACTTCATGCCCACGTGCTCCAGACCTGGCTTTCTGCCTCCTCTGTGCTGTGTCACTGTGGACCACCAGGTCCAGTTTCACAGGCCACAGGCACATCATTCCATCTGGTCCTTCTGCTGAGAATGTCCTCCCTCCAATGTGCACCTGTCAGTAGCCTTTATGGCCCAACTCAGACCACACTTTCTTAGAGGCCTTCTTGGGTCAGTGTCTCCTCCTTTCCTTCATTTCCTATTGCTCCGTATGCTTCCACTGTAGTGTTTATTTACGTCCACTTGTTTTTGGAGTGATTTATGTATGTTTGTCTTCTCCACTGGATTTCAGTACCTGGAGGCATTTCCTAAACATGACATAATAAGGCATAGTGTTTATTATGCAATACGAGCACAGGCTTTGGAGTTTAGACTTCCTGGGGATGAATCCTGGCTTTATCCCTGCTAGCTGTGTGACCTTGGAGAAATTACTTAACTTCTCTGTGCCTCATATGGCAAAGTGAGGGTTATAGGGTTGATGTGAGAATTAAGCTCATACATGTTAGAACAGTGCCCAGGACATAGATAGTCCTCAGNACTTAACTTCTCTGTGCCTCATATGGCAAAGTGAGGGTTATAGGGTTGATATGAGAATTAAACAAGCTCATACATGTTAGAACAGTGCCCGGGACATAGATAGTCCTCAATAAATGTTAGCTATGTTTACTTAACACATGGTGTTTAATAAAGTTGACCTGAATCATAGTTTAGTCTGGCTGCTGATTAAAACAATGAAGCTACTTGATTGCTTTAATCACCTAGTTGGAAGTTTTCAGGAACTGCCCTAAAATAATAAAGCATCCCGTCTGGTACAGATTAGAGATATAATTAGAGATATGAAAGGCCAGAATCATGAACTACACACAGTCAATTCTTAAAGGTGGGCTTGCTTTCTTTAGTCATTCACTGAATTACACGAAGATTAACAGCAACCGTATTGGCTCAGAAGTAACACNGCTTGCTTTCTTTAGTCATTCACTGAATTACACGAAGATTAACAGCAACCATATTGGCTCAGAAGTAACACTAGTATTTCACATGCTGGCAGTGTTGCTATGTAAAACTTACTTGTGGCGATAGTGACATGTTTTGGGGCTGCGGAAAGATATGGAATCAACAGGAAGAAGTTCCTTCTGGTGGATGTCACTGTTGGCAGAACCTGGGAGACCTGTTTCGGTCTCATTGCAGCTGCTTTATGTGTCTGCCATTGGCCTGCGCACCTGGCTCTTGCTTAAAGGTGGTTGACTTTCTCTAAGGATGCCAGGCCGTCCTGGTTTCCTCCTTTGTGCTCCTCTATGTGGAGCTCCCAGTGCTTCACATGAGACACCCCATGTATTTACGCTTCACAGGAGCCCTGGAGGTAGGTTCTGTAACTGCCCCACTTACAGAGAGGACACTCAGATGCAGCACGTCCGGAGTTAGACCTCAGCCACGTGGGTCCCGAGTCCAACCCTAGACGATGGTTGTGCTGTGTTACCTTCAAAGGCAGCGTACAGCTAATGGAAGGAGCTACTTACATATGTTCCTGGAGCCTTTATTTAAAAAAATATTTTTTTATTAACTTTTAGAAAGAGGGGGAGAAACATCTATGTGAGAGCAAAACATTGATCAGCTGCCTCCTGCATACTCCCTCCCCCTACTGGGGATTGAGCCCACAACCTGGGCATGTGCCCTGACTGGGAATTGAACTGACAACTTTTTGGTGCATGAGATGATGCTNTGGGGATTGAGCCCACAACCTGGGCATGTGCCCTGACTGGGAATCGAACTGACAACTTTTTGGTGCATGAGATGATGCTCAACCAACAGAGCCACACTGGCCAGGACCCTGGAGCTTTTTTTAAAAACATACTTCAGCCCAACAGTTAAAATAAGACTCACCCAGAGGGCTGTTGGATCCAAATGTCATTGAGGAAAGACAGAGTTCTAGCCTACCACAGGTACAAGGTCTGTTGTGAACCACTCCCAAGATCCACCTGCCAGGTGGAGAGATCTGGGTTTTACTGCTGCCGTGAGTTTGTTCACAGCTGGTCTGTAGAGAAGTGTCAAACCATGTGGTGTGCACTGCGTTTCCTTTTGTTTCCTCTGAGGCTCAGGAGCAGGAAGAGAGGAAGGAGGGCACCGGATCTCCATCAGGCAGTTTGGGTCCTGCCTGGCCAGGACAGCTCCTGGTGCTAACAGGTGCTGTGTTTCCTCCTCAGGCGCTTGGGAGGCAGGTTCAGAGGGTGGTCAGTATGGCTGCCTTGGCTGCGGTGTGTGAGGCCATTGACCAGAAGCCAGAGCTGCAGCTGGACTCTCTGGACGCTGGACCCACGGAGAGGTTCCTCGCCTCCCTTCAGCTCAATCAGATGCTGCAGAAGCCGTGCCCAGAGGAGCAGAGCAGGTGCGTTCACCCCTTGGAGTGTGTTGCGCATGAGAGGGGTCTTTACTGCTCGTGTTGGAAAATCCATTCTTGCTTCAGTCATTGAGGTGATTGCCCAACACTGCAGATGGGTTCAGAAGCTGGGAGTTGAGGCTCCACTCAGGGTAGCCAGGGTTACTGCATTACTCATCTCCATTACGGGGCCATGAACGCTTCCCCATTTAGTTTTCAGTGCATCATACAAAGTGAGTGAAATACCTACTTCTGGGGTAGTTAGAAGAGATCGAGATCTGTGTGGCTTCCTTGGTTTTGGTAGACGGCATATTGAATAATGATCGCTTAATTTCTCCTTGGAAGGATAGTACTACACATGCAGGTGACACTGAGATCGACTTAAGGAAGGACGGGCAGTGACTTGACTTTTCGTTTCAGTGTTTTGGAAGAATCATCGTCTTCCCAAGGATGGGGGAAAATAGCTGCGCAGTATATTCATGATCAGTGGGTCTGCCTCTCCTTTCTGCTGAGAAAATATCACACCCTTATACCAGCCTCCGGGGGCGAACTCCCGGAACCCATTCTGCCTGCCGTTCAGATGCCAGCGAGGACTCTGCAGGCTGCGCTAGCCGCGCTCCTGGTTCTGCCCTCCGACCGAGTCCTGCCTGTGTTCCACTGCATGAAACTTCTGGTTCCCAAGGTAAGACACAGTGAGCCGTGAGTCGAAGAATAACCGAGGACGATACCAGTTCCTGAAGTTAAGTGATAGTTATATGTTTCTTTCTCTTTCTTTCCTACCAGCTCCTGGCCTCCTCCGAGTCCGTCTGCATAGAGGCTTTTGACATGGGTTGGAAAATCATATCTTCTTTAAGCAACACTCAGCTGACATTCTGGTCCAATTTAAAAGCTTTTGTTCAGTTTGTTTTTGATACCAAAGTCCTTACCATTGCTGCAAAAATCAAGGGCCAGGCATATTTCAAAATAAAAGAGGTAACTTTCTTTTAATTGGGGTAAAAAGCACAACCTAGCACTTACCCTCTTAACCATTCTTAGTATATTGGAATGTATGTTCGCATTGTTGGGACTGATCTGCAGAACTGAAACACTACACCCATTAATACCTCACCTTTCCTCCCTCCCATGTAACCATTCTGCCTTCTGTGTCTATGAATTTGACTGCTTTAGATAAAAGGTGTACTTGAGACCTACATAATCTTATCAACCAAGTTTACCCCAGTATATTTATTTTAAAAAGTGGGCTTTTTTCCAGTTGTGTGACCTCGTAGCCCATGAGGAAGGAGAGTTATATTCGTAACTGCTTATTAGATGTGTTGTTCACTCAGTTAACAANAGGTGTACTTGAGACCTACATAATCTTATCAACCAAGTTTACCCCAGTATATTTATTTTAAAAAGTGGGCTTTTTTCCAGTTGTGTGACCTCGTAGCCCATGAGGAAGGAGAGTTATATTCGTAACTGCTTATTAGATGTGTTGTTCACTCAGTTAACAACATGAACCTTCTTCAGTGTCATGAGTAAGGACAAGAAAATCTTAGATGTCACAGAACAGGTGACATGGTAGCCCGTGAACCACACTTGCCTCACAAGCATGTGTTATTTGGTTCATACGATGTTTAAAATTTTGGCTGATTTGTGAGCTTTGAAGAATTGGGAAGTTTGCACGAAGAACTTGGGAAGTGGGATGATCCAGTGACCCTGGCCCTTCCTACACGACAGCAGTCCCCTCGCACCGAGTAGGTGCTGCCCTGTCCACCTGCTGTTCCTCTTCTCCAGCCCACACCATTCTCCATGCTTTCTGGACACTAAGGGCCAATGTCCGGTGCCATTTGTCACTGTATTTGTGCCATTGCTTTTCTTGTATGAGACATATTTCTCTGAATATAACCTGATCATAGGGTCTTCTGGTTTCTGGAGGCATTTGTGTGTGTAACCACTGATACATAGTAGGGACACAATGTGATGGAGCGACACCAAGCCTAGGAGCTTACGTGTGCCTTTATTTAAGGGGAGAATGGACCTTTCATGACTCCACTGTCCCCTCTGCCACTCTCAGTCCTTTCCTGAGGCCCGTCACACACTGAGAGACTGAGGTCTTTGCTGACTCAGGAGGGGAGGCCATTGGCAAAATGCAAAGAAAACCAGACTGTGCCGGGGGAGGTAGTTTTTCTCCCTTTCACTCTATTTAGACAGCAGCGTCTCTAGGTCAGTTCTAGGTGAATGTTACCATCAGTAAAATTTTGTTACTGAGAAATGAAAATTAACATTCTATGATTACTGAACATCTTGCAAAATTCAAATGGTAAAGAATTTTTAATTTTTACACTGTACTCATGCTGATGTGGGAACTGTCATTTGAAGCCATTCACATGACAGTTTCGAGCAACACTAATTTTTTTTTTTTTCAAAAAACTAACTTGGTCAAAGGTTACAGTGACCATCATCTTCCATTCCAGATTATGCACAAGATGATTGAAATGTCTGCTATAAAAACTGGAGTCTTCAATATACTGATAACTTACTGCTGCCAGTCTTGGATAGTTCCTGTCTCAAATATGTCCCAAGTGTCTCTCTCAAGTGCTAGAAGTTACAGCGAGCTGGTCCTTGAGGCTTGTGTGTTTGGAACTGTGTTCAGGCGTGATCAGAGGTAAAGCTGTCTTTATTCCAACCTGTCCTCACCTATGCTAAGTGCCTGTGTGGGTAGAATTGCTTTTATTTTGAGGCTTTCAGTTAACAGGATATAAAGCACTAGCTAACGTTAAATTTGGGGCCTTAATTTTTTTTTTTCTGTCTAAAGCCTCTTCTTTGTCAAATGTTTTTTATGGAAAGACTCATTCAGGACGTACAGACCTTTATAGAAAACCTTGGACACGACTGTGCAGCAAACGTCATTATTGAAAAGTAAGTACAAGGGATTTTTCACGTCTTTCATAAATGGAATTTTCATAATTTAACAGTATAAGAAACATTCTGTATTTGTTAAATTTAATAAGTGTTTACTGCTATGATACTGAATGAGCCTTCAAAAGTATGTTAGAAATTACATTCCCTTGCTAATATATTTTCTTCAAATCTGTCACTATTTACTAAAATTTGATAAACTGTAAAAATGTATGGTGCAAAGTCTAACATAAACAAGGCAGTGAGTGGGGGGGACACGAAACCCCAGTCTCCTTTGTTTGGGTTGGAGGGGTGATCACCAGCACACTTTTTTTTTTTCTTGGCTAAAAGTCACCATGTAACAAGTCAGTATCCTCACACAAAAATAAAATCACTTTTGGAACAGGCCCTAAAGTTTTGATTTCTGGGATAATACTATTCTTATCTCCGAATTAATGTTTTTGGAGCTTGTCAAATAGTTTTTTTAAAGTTTTATTTTTTTAACATAATTTTCAAAGGTCTGTGTGTAGGTGTTTTAAAGAAGATGGTGGTTGGTGTATTACTCTTTGATTCTAGAGTTTGGGACAACAAGTGATGTTGTGTACAGTTACCACAGTGTTTATTCCAAAGGCCATAGCTGTTTTATCTTCTTCTCTTCATTAAAAATACACATTTTTCATTGTTAATTGTTTTAATTGATCTTTTTTTTCTTGACCAGTTTAGTGTAGCAACAAAAGTAAAAGTTTTTAGTTAATGGTTTCAGATAACTTTGATTTCTGTTAGATGTTTTGTTGTTAAATTAAAATGACACTTATTTACGTTGTAACAGTTATAATGAACTGTGGAAATATTTATTAACAGTTTCACTTACTTTATCTTTCCCCATTTGGATACTGAACGTGCTGGGATGCTGGGAGCGCTGGGTGATCCCCGAGTTTGCCCCCATGCTGAGAACAGGCCTTTGTAGTAGGGAGGAGACATTGAGGCCCCTGAGGTAGAGTCTTGCCCCTGAGGGGATGGAGCTGTCCATGGTTGTCACTCAGGAGGAGCTTCCTGAGCTCTGATCTGTTTTGTCCACAGATAAGATACGTGTGTAGTGTCGTTTTCCAGAAGTCAGGGTGGAATTGTGCTTGTTCGGACTTTCTGCAAAGCCTCTCCTTTTAACATGTTCATTTGCTTTCTTCTGTTTCCACCTGAATTTAAAAGCATTGTCATTAATTGTGGACCTGCTTAATTTTAGAAAATTTTGGAAGGTTTTGATATTTGTTAGGATATTTTGAAGCTAATATTTGAGGTTTTTTTCTGTTTTGAAAATGTGCTAACATAGTCTGTCATTTCATATTTTTTTAGTACCAGAAGAGAGGACCATTATGTCAGAGTTTGTGCTGTCAAGTTCCTGTGCTTATTAGATGGCTCAGATACGTCTCATAGGTCGTTTGTGGAAGATCTTGCAATCAAGCTGTTAGATAAAGTAAATATGTTGTTTTTGTTTTTTTTTACTTTAAAGTATCTTTGTTTTTGTTTAGTTAACAATCAAAATCCAATATTTGCTCTTTATGTTGGCAAAAATATGTATTTCTAAATATTTTTATCAAGAAAAACGTGAGATTTATGTTCCATATTTTTAGTTACGTCTTGGTTAGTAATTGTCCAACTCAAGTTGGCTTTTGAGAACAATGTTTTACCTGTACTATCTAAACTTCACTCTGTAGTTTCCAGTACCAGTCAAAACCAGTTACACTTAGAGCGATGTATCCATACATTGCTTTATGTAAGAAATAGAGTAAGAAAGTGAAGTATATACTTTTTTGAGTCTGCAAAGTTATTTATAAGTGAATGTCATACTGTTGAAGGGGGGTTAGTAAAGCTGGGAGAGATGGACCCGAGTAAAGTCAAGTACACTTGAAGCCGAAGGGGACGGAGAACTCGATGTGCTTCCTGACGTCTGATTTGGGCGCTGGGATCTAACTGGTGACGGTACAACCCACCTGCATTGAAATGCAGAGTTTATCACACATTCATCAGCTTTATTATATAAAACCGAGGAGGTATTTTTATGCAAAAGTTTCCTCCTTTGCCCTGTTGACTCAGGAGATGAGTCAGAGGAAACAGCGTTTCACTGGTTTTCTGAGGGGAGCAGAGTGGGAGTGGCAGGGTCTCCCGCCAGGCAGTGCGGTTCGTGTGTACTGTACATCGGTGTCGCTAGAGTAGAGGCTGGGGCACGCGCGCTGTCTGGAGATGGCATCCTGGGGTGCTCCTATCTTCATGTAAGTAATTTAATATTGATTCCCTCCCCCCACCCCCAGGATGAACTGGTGTCAGTGTCTAGAACCCGTTACTATGTGAATTCTCAACAGCACAGAGTGAAAAACCGAATATGGCAGGTTCTGCTTGTACTTTTCCCCAGATTCGATCAGGTATAATGTTTATTATATTTATACCTTTAAAGTATAATGTTTCCATATGAATAAGCTATTTAATAGAAACCATTATGGGCTGTTTTAAAACTGAGAAAGTAATCTGCTTAAAAGGTATACTTCAGTTCTTAAAATTGAAGTTACTCAGAACTTTTTTTGTAACAGAAAGAACACTAAGGCAATTTGGTACTGGAGAAATAAGTCAGAAGTTGTTTACTCGGCCCCACTGAATACTTTTTTCTTTCAATATTTTAATGTACTACTTTAAGTGTTTAAAGTTTCATAGGCCATTTGATTAGAAGATCTGAATAACTCCTAATCTTCGACAGCTAAGCTATTTTGTAGTGACTGCTCTGGGTTGTCTGTACGCCCGAAACCACGAAAGGCGTCCTCTGGGAAGCAGGTAACCTGGCCAGTGCAGGTGCAACTCCAAACTGTCTGCCAGAGTCTCGCTCCACTTCATAATCTGTTGTGGGGGCTGGAGACGAGCTTTTCTGCTGCTCCTCTACCCATAAGAAATTCTTTTAAGAGAAATCCTCCTGCTTTGAAATAAATAAGTTGTCTATAAGAAATATTTTTAGGTGCTTATATAAGGAGATGATGCCTTTTACCTGCTGCTTAGAGATGTCCAGTTACGCAGACAGAAGTGCAGCTCTGGGGGGAGGATGGGTGAGGGAGGAGGGTGCTTTTGGAGTCAGGGTCTGGCCAGAAAAACGGCGGAAGCCGTGCGGGCAGGAGGCTGGCAGTCAGTCCAAGGAGACGCAGGAGGCCCAGCCCGCTCCTTCCGGGCTTCGTGTGCCTCCTGCCGACTTTGGTACCCTTGTTCCCTGGCTTTAGCCCAGGGCATCCTGGCACATCTTGATCCGTATCTGAATTCTGCCACCTACTGATGTGTGGCTTTGAGACAGTTATTTAACTTTTCTGAATCTTTTCTTTTCCCTGTAAAAATACAGAGAATTAAAACCTTTCTCACAGAACTGATGTTGAAGTAAAATGTGCAGTACTCAGGAAAAGTACCCAATTGTCATATTTCAGTCAGCAGTTTTTAGGGTCATTGTTTGCAGAGTGGTGGATTCAGTAGTTACTTACAATAAAACTTTAAGCTGTTTTTTTTTTACCAGTGAGAATTTTTAAAATTAAAATTACTAACCATTTTCAAAGTTACTAAGGGACTAGATCTTAATTGTCCGCACCACAGAAAAGAAATTTTAAGTATGTGACATGATGGAGGCCTTAGCCAATGCCACCGTGGTAATTGTATTGTGATATGTAAATGGATCGAATCACCGTTTTTATCCCTTAAATTTACACGTTATGTGTTGTTTATATATCAGTGAAAATAAATTTAAAACAACAACCATAACACAATATAACTTGTGAATTTTATTTTTCTCAGAATTTCTTGAACAGAATCATTGACAAGATTTTCCAGGCTGGTTTCACCAATAACCAGGCGTCCGTAAAGTATTACATAGAATGGATTATTATACTGATTCTCCATAAATTTCCTCAGTTTCTTCCGAAGTTCTGGGATTGTTTTTCTTACGTAAGTAAAAGAGATTTTTCATATTTTTTAAAATTAAGAAAAGATGTGGGCTGTACTGGGCGGCTTGTTTCGCTTTAGTTTGTTGTTTTTTGACCCTCAGTTGCCCTGGCCCAGGTAGTGACATCCTGAGTTGTGTTTTGCAAGATCTGAGTTAATTTGAGAGACAGAGCCCTGGGTTCGTGAGCATGCCAGCATTTTCATCTAAGAGCTCTTCAGTTCCAACAGGAAGAGACTTTTGTTCCTAAGAAGTAGGGGAAGTAGGTGCCTTCACACTGTCACTTACAAGCAGTGTCTTTGTTTGATCTTAGAAACAGGAGCGAGGAAGTGTATGTGCAGCCCTTACGTTTAAAGAAGTTTTCAGTAGGGGAATTTCAGGCATAACCCAGGTAGAGGGCCTGGAAAGGAAGCCCTCTCACCTGACCAAAAACAGACTTCAGTTCATTTCATTCGTATTTCATCTGTGCCCTCATCCCACCCCACCTCCGCCCCCCAACATTCCTGGATCTTGAAAACATTTTTAAGGAGTTGATACTAAGATTGGTGATAGAGTTTACAATGCAGGTGTCCTGACAAATAACAGATTGTTTCTAAACACCAGCTCTGTTGTCCCAAGTTCACGCTTCCCTTTGTGACCCTCCTACATTGTATGAAAACAGAGACACTTTCCTCCACNTCACGCTTCCCTTTGTGACCCTCCTACACTGTACAAAAACAGAGACACTTTCCTCCAAGGGCCTCCTTTCTGTGTCTTCTCCTGTTTTAGGAGACGGAATGGTGTTTGTATTTCCTTTACTGGTGTCTTCTTTATTCTTAAACTTTGAGAATGAATGATCTTTGCCATCCTCTCTTGCTCTACTGAAACCACTGTGGGGCACGCATGCTCAGGACGCACACGCTGAGGGTTTCCTGTGCAGACGCAGATCACCTCTCTCCTTCCCTTTGCCTGTCTCACGTCCCAGCAGCTGTTCACGCTGGTGGCTGCCTTCCCCGCAGCTGGCTGTCCCTGCCGTGGGATGCCCATTCCTGGGATGCCCATCGTCTCTGGTCCTGTCCTGTGTTTGCTTGCTTTCCTGGTTTTGCCTTAAGAATCATTGTTTAGCGCTGTGCTGTCTTCATGCCCTGGCTGTAACCCCTNTTGCTTGCTTTCCTGGTTTTGCCTTAAGAATCATTGTTTAGCGCTGTGCTCCTGTCTTCATGCCCTGGCTGTAACCCCGTCCCTGCTGGCTCACTGCGTCTCCAGCCCCTCCCCACGTTGTCAGCTTCACCCCAGGTACAACTGAACTGGTGGCATCTCTCCCTAAACTGGCTCCCTTCCTGCTGACCTTCATTCTCCAGACCAATAGCAGCAGCGTCCTCCACCGTGAAAGACGGTGGTCTTTACCTTTTACTGATGCGGAAACGCATTCCTTTTCACCCCCCGGGGTTCCCCTCCTGACCCTTCCTTCTCTCCTCCTCTTCGTGTCCATGTAATGAAGAAAAATATCCCGGCAATTTTTCTGGAGTTGCCTCTCAGACCTGTTGCTTACTAATTACGTTCTGCCTGCTCTCTCGTGGATCAGGCTGGCTCTGTGGACTCCTAAGCCTCCTAACTCTCTGTCCCCAGTAATTCAGCTGTTCTCTCTGCTGCTCAGCTCAGTCTCTCACTTTCCATAAAGAGCTTTCAGACTTTGTAAGTTCTCTTCGGGTCCTCTCCTGTGGACATCAGTCTGGGTTTTTCATTGTTAGCAACTAAAACAACTTCGGCCGATTGAGTCAAAAAGCGACTGAGGACAAGCAGGGAGGAGGGAGTGGGCAGCTTGCAGGATGCCCACCATGCGACCAGCTGCAGAATTGGGCTGGAAGAATAGGCAGGAGTGGGGTGGGGGTGGCCTCTGGGACCACAGCTCCGGGTGCGCCAGGGGCTGGTTCACCGGGGACAGTGCGCCAGGCCCCAGCCTCTGCCACTTGGGTGGAGGTGCAGCCTCGGTGGGCTCACCTTCCTAGGTTACAAGTTCTCAATTCAGAATTTGGGGNTGGGACCACAGCTCCGGGTGCGCCAGGGGCTGGTTCACCGGGGACAGTGCGCCAGGCCCCAGCCTCTGCCACTTGGGTGGAGGTGCAGCCTCGGTGGGCTCACCTTCCTAGGTTACAAGTTCTCAATTCAGAATTTGGGGTTGGTGTCTTTTGATCTCATATCCCCCCCAGGCCTCTGCTGCTCCCTCCTGGGCCCCGCAGTGTAAGCGCGGCCACAGGAAACCTTGAATGACTTTTGTTTANGTGGAGGTGCAGCCTCGGTGGGCTCACCTTCCTAGGTTACAAGTTCTCAATTCAGAATTTGGGGTTGGTGTCTTTTGATCTCATATCCCCCCCAGGCCTCTGCTGCTCCCTCCGGGGCCCCGCAGTGTCAGCGCGGCCACAGGAAACCTTGAGTGACTCTTGTTTGTCTGACTTTTTTTCAGGGTGAAGAAAACCTTAAAACAAGCATTTGTACATTTTTAGCAGTTTTGTCACATTTGGACATCATTACTCAAAATATTCCAGAAAAGGTAAGTGTAATTTGTAAGAAGAGTTTAAACTCAACTATTAAAATAGAATTTTATATATTGGCACTAATTTTTGTAAATGTAGCATATTCCATATGTTTTTTGCAGTTTCCCCCTTCCCTTCCACTGCCCCTGAGATGCACGTACTGAGACATGAGTGCACAGTGAGGTGCTGCAACTTGCACACACATGCACTGAGGTATATTCTCTATCTCCACACCCACTGATGGGCAAGTTTTGATGATATGATTGTTAATTTTTTGAAAGTATTTCAGTATGATTGTTTAAGCAGGACTCCCTCATTGCACTTAACTGTCCTTGACAGACGCTGTTATTTAACAAATGCTCATGCAGAGAAACTTAGGGTCAGGTATTGAAAGCTGCTAGGTAACTGAAGGCTGAGGTAATGACTCATCATTGGAGTGTGGAGGCCAGTTCTCTCCCAGGTTCGGAGCAGTTTCTTTAGTGGATTACTAGACAAGTAGAGATCTTAGCTAATTCTGGTTAATTACTGTGGCAACTGAAGAATTTAGGAAAACCTGCCAGATTTAGAGCTAGATTATGTATCGTTGAATCCGTGGAGAAGATACTGATAGTTGTGAACTTTAGGAGAAACTAAGTATATGAAATAAGTATTGTGTAGTGTTGAAAATGAAATAAAAATACAGGGGGAAAAGGCTTCCTAGAATTTCTTAAAGCGTTCTTGCCTTCAAACAGTGGTAACAGATTTAGTTAACGTATTTCATCAATCCTAAACAGACTCTTCTCCCCACCACCTGTTAACCTCAAAAATCATGATAATCCTAAAATTGAGGGCGTCTTACAGTGTCTGCCAGCCAGGTGGTAGTGTGTCAGTGACAGGCCCTGGTAAGCTCAAGAAGGCTCTCCAGCCGGTGACACTGAGGGCTGTTGTCATGTTTTAAATGCGTGCAGAGAGAAATGTGCTTACAGTCTGTTGAGAGAGGTAATAGATACACTGCACTGTTGCCGGCAGCGGGCGGCAGGTGGG